GAATCAATTCCATCTGGAAAGAGATTGACGAACGATTAACAAATCATAACTTTGATAGATTATACTACAAGATTTCGGCAGTTAAGTAGAGGTTAGGAATCTAAACTAAGAAGTCTCACAGTAATATACCTGAAATTATATCGTCGAAAATTTGAATAGGACATTCACTGGTACCACTAACGTCTGACAGCGATAGTTCTGAACGAGACGAGTCCAGCCCAACTGATGCTTTCTTGGGAGTGCTATGGATAAAATATCCGCAACTTCTTTTAGACATTGTGATCAAGTATACATTACCAAAGCCAAGTAGGTCAAGCAAGAATCTGGTAGTGATCTGGTCAATGTTCACAATGGAAGCTTTGTTTCAAAAGGAAATATGATGACTTCAGAAAATGCCGCTAAACCAATGATATTGCAATCTGACTAAGTCGCGTGAATTTGACTGGCATGTCAAAAGCTGTCACATGGTCTTTGCATGGTTTTAAAAAGTTCAGTTGCAGATTTACTTCAACGGYGGCGTTGTTARATCAACAGAGGCTTGACTATACATATTGCGGAGGACGGTATTAATGGCCAAAAGCAAAGGAACCTGGACCATAAAGGTCAAGAATAGCAAGGCTTATGTCTTTAGGGAAGATCAGGCACTTGCGAATGACAGAATGGGTGGCATGAAATACGGTCATCTTTTAAAGTCAAGTATTTATGATAAGAAATTTATCCGGGTAAGAATTTATTGGCTAGCGTTTGTAAATCACGCTGATGTCTAATGCCTTACTTTCTCATTTTTGTTATGCAGTTAGAATTCGAAAATACCACAAAAAAGTGCAAGTTTGCGGCTCTTCCTGCCAATCTTTACAACCCGCTGAAAAGCACTGGAGGGTTTTACTGTTGTTCCAGTAAGTGTCCCGATACTTTGGCGAAAGAAATTCAGAATGTTTTAGATGGATACAATGGAGCATACCAACATACATCGGAAAGCGCCATAGATACACCAGACAAAACAGCGGAAATTTCGCTGAATTCACCGCATTCTCGACAGCCGCAGTCTAAAACCAGTTCCAGCAGCAGTAAAGAAACTCCTAAAACACTACCAACCRTGGTCTGCGAAACTCCGGTGACAACACGCGCGGTTCACTCTTCCGCCAAAGTAACGAAGAAAAGAATTGTTTTCCCGAAGCAAACCATCAAATCCAAGAAAAGAAAAACTGATGCGGTCGACGAAGAGTTGTCTGGCCTAAAACTGCAACAAACCTGCGAGGAAAAGCTTGTAAGCGGTATGTATTAGTTTCGTTTAATTCTTTTTAAACTAATGTGCCGCTAAAACTTATTCTATTTCAGAATATTTTTTTGTGTTGGTGGTATCTTAATTGATTAATTAAAGTTTCATTATAATGAAAGGAAAACTTATTAGTAAAGATTTTAATCATAAGGTCTTTGAGCCTCCCCTAATTATAGCTTCTTACKCTTCTTGTCTCGGAGGTGAGAACTTTACAAATCGGATAACGTCATCAACGTATCAAAAATGCCGGCGCTGTGCGGGAGACAAAACCCGAATTAAATACAGTATCAGGCCGATCAGGTCTGAGTGAGAATACCTYGAATAGTCAGCGAATAGCCCGAACACAAAAAAACTAGGCTAATAGTATTGAGTGTTGTATAGCTTCTTCTCCGCGTGGTCATATTTATGGTAGAATGTACTCCAACACTGTATGGGCTTCCTGTGATATTGCAAATCGAAACCGGGCTCCCTGTGTAAAGATGGCGAMCACGTTCATGATGTTTTGAAACAAGACTTGTTCCACTCAATTTAATCAATTTTTATTATAAACATTCAACATTGATTTACTTATTTTGTTTTATTTATTGAATCTGTTTTTATCTTTCAGAATCTACCTATTTTATACCGACACAATGCCTTAAACTGCCTGAAAAAGAAAAGCAGTTTAGACGTGTCAATTCTACCTTCTTATCAAAACTGAAAGAAGAGATGATAGAAAACCCATCAGGAAGTTATAACGCTCTTTGTGTCATTGTTGATGGTATTTCAAAAAAGAACAATTTCGACCCTAAGAAGAAGGAACAATATAGTTATAAAGTAATAGGTGGTACTCATACGATGTTGGCCACTAAGGAGCTTCATGAACAGTTCCCAAATAACCCTACAATATCATGAAGATTCCCTTCTCCACTGACAAGAAGCAAAGAGGAAAAAAAAACGTCTACCATTTATACATTNAATACTCCAGTTTCGAATTCATAGCGAATAACCGCTGCTTTATTTGACAACAGATTCTCTTGCGCAAAGACCTTACAAACACAAAAGAGAGCACGAGAAAATGTCGTTATTACAATAGACTTGAAAATTTGCATTTTCCCCGAGTTGAGATTATCCCTGTATTCCCATAAGACCTAAGGTATGAGCAGGGTTAGCCTCAACTCGGGGAAAATGTAGATTCTTAGCGCTCTATTGTATTAACAACATTTTCTCGTGCTTTCTTTTGTCTTTGGTAAGTTCTTTGCGTAATAGAATCTGCTGTCAAGTAAAACAGCGGTTATTGAATTCGAAACTGGAGTATTATGAAATGTGAACCCTGACTACTACTAACAGTTTATYATTCTCTGCAACATGATCTAAATAATATAAGGCAGTACTCAGGCYGTTTAAACTTGTTGCTTAGTAGCGTTGTATTCTAATTACAATATTTTTCCTTTAAGTTGAAAAATAGTGAAATAAGCTTTAAAGAACTTAAAGAGGAAACAGAGAAGCTAAAGACCATAGGAAGAGTAAGAAGTGCTATATTGGAATTCTTCGGTATTGAAACATGGGAAGRTGCAGTGGAAAAGTTTGGCAATTCAGTGAGGGAGGAAAAGCTTTTTTCTTTCATGGTATGTGGGATAAAATATTGTTACAGAGTATTATTCTTTCTGATTTATATAACTTTAAAGGGTATCAATTAACTAAAGTCACATAATAGATATTAATTTTAACATTTAGTTTTATTGGTTTCCTTGTTAGTCTATAATTACATGTAATTACAATAAATGATTCAAATATTGTCAGGCCCAATCATTTATTTTCCTTATTCGACTTTGAGCTACAACCTTATTAACTTCTCCCTGYAAAAGCAAAAGGAATCTCTGCTCACAGAGTAATTACAAGTTTGAAATGAATGTAATTATTRATAGTAAATTTAATTAATTGGTGTTTATTTATAATCATTCATTTAGGAAGTTGANTTAAGTGAAGTTTAAATCGAACACTTAAAGAATAAAAAGTAGACTAAAACAATTTTCATACATAAATGTATCTTAAAGTTTCTTAAATAACACTTAAATGACCATCGGGCATTTAATTTTTTAATGGTTCTTTAATTTTGCACTTAAAGATCCAGTCGGTCTTTAAGTGTACTTTAAGTTGCATAGTAAGTTTAGTAAAGACTCCTTTTCGTCCTGTGTTCATTACGTTTGTTTAGCGAAGATAGGTGTTTCTTACAGATTATTATAAACTTTTCGTTCAAGCATAAATTACATTTTTTGTTCTCATTATTATATGATTGGCTTTTTTTGATTATTTTCCGCGTCAGGTTGAATTTTCTGTTTTTGTCTTTCAGTTCCCAAATATGCTTAGATAGTTCTGTTACGTTTCTTTTTTTGCAATGTTTAAAAGAAGTCAGGTGGTTTCTATATCTTTCTTTGAAGTTAGYTGCTAATCCTACATATGTTTCTGTTGATGTTTCAGTAGTTACGGTCGCTTGGTATATTACGTTTGTCTGTTGGCAGTTTCCATTAAGGGGGCAGTCAGGTTTCTTTCTGCAGTTGCACTTTGGTTCTTGTTGCTCGGTTGCGGTTCCAGTTTTGATTTTGCTTTTGTTGTGGGAGTCGATTATATTCTTCACATTGGGCATGCATGAGTAGCTTAGCTTTAAAGTATTCTTGTTGAAGATCTTGTGACGTGGAAAATAATCAAAAAAAGCCAATCATATAATAATGAGAACAAAAAATGTAATTTATGCTTGAACGAAAAGTTTATAATAATCTGTAAGAAACACCTATCTTTGCTAAACAAACGTAATGAACTCGCAAGCCCATGTCCCCACAGAAATAAATACACGCTCAAAAACTTCTATGTAACCTGATAAATGTAACCTAGCAACCATTTTCTTTCAAATCACCAGCATAGGATATCCAACGGTCATTCATTGTAAATTGCCTGATGAGTGTGGGTCAAACCATACGAAACAGGTCTGTAGCAATAAATCAATGGATCATATTCGAAGCGTTTAGCTCAGTATTTTATGTATATATATGATATATATATACAGCAATATGCAGAAATTCTGACCACTTTGACTCATATTCCAACTATATATAAAAATATATCAGAAATTATGGGATATGGTCACTGATATCTTTTTGAAGTTGCCTAGGATCAGTAGTATCTGAAAAAAATATCAGCGATGATATCCCATAATTTCTAATATATTTTATATATAGTTGGAATATGAGTCAAAGTGGTCAGAATTTCTGCATATTGCTGTATATATATATACAGCCGTTTGCAATAATTCTGACCCCCCTACACTAATATTCATATATATCAAAATAGCCTTAGAAATTATGGGATACCATTGCTGATATTTTTTTTAGAAAGTACTCATTCTGGACAACTCAAAAAAAAATATATATATATATGTACATATAAAAATAACATACAGCCTTTTGCAAAAATTATGAGAATTGTCTAAATATCTAAATATCATAATATCCATATCCATATATTGTCCGGAACACAGGTTTGCTAGAATAATTCATTGTTTACATCGAGAAAATGTTCAGAACTACGGATAAGTCTGTCGCCAAAAAAAAACTAAATTACAAAGACAAGGGACTAAGGGCATCGCGCGGGATTACCCATCATGCACTCGATATTATGATATTTAGATATTTGAACAATTCTCATAATTTTTGCAAAAGGCTGTACACATTTTTCAGATTAAGTATTCAATATTTAGGAATACGAAATTCATATGGCCTGTGCATTTGCATCATTCATTACATGAATGGTCATTTACACTCTTCCATAAAGCAAACGTAAGAAAGCAAAATTATGCATTGACAAAATTACCTTGTATACAATTAATCAATCATTGCCTTCTTCTCCCTCCTCCTCCTCCTCTTCTTCATCATCATCTTCTTCTTCCTCCTCCTCCTCCTCTTCTTCATCATCATCGTCTTCTTCCTCCTCCTCCTCCTCTTCGAAACCTTTATATTGCCCATCCTCTGAGGGAAACTTCTGCTGTATTGGAGAGTAGGCACAGCATGGCAGAGGGAATCTTTTTGAGCATCCAAGGTAGCCCCATACTAATCTTGAAAATTGTCTCTACGACACTGAACGCAAATACCTATCAAAGATGAAATTGAATTGTTACATGTGTTATAGTCTTTGATGTCATTGGTTTTTGTAGATTGGGAAAAATTTATGTTCCCTGTTACAGAAGTGCAATAATCAATACATGAGTGTCTTGAGCATAATTTATAATAAAAGTCTATAGATATGCATTCATTTTCACAGACTTAATGAGGTTTTATGTTTAGCAAAACAGATAATACAAAGTATTTTTTACTCACTGATTCCTGGATACAGAACCACCTTTATACATMAAATCATAGCGTTTACCCTTCCTTGTCCTGAGACCCAAACCAGCCAGCAAAAGTACCCATTCATCAAGGCATCCAGAGATAAACCCAGGATGAAAACATATACATGTCATGACATTACTGGTGTCTAGGTTCTGCCTTGAGCTAGTGTTGATGCTATCTAACAACTCTCTGCACTCTGCTATTTCACAGCAACAAAAACATTCTTCTTTTTTAGATATTCCCTCCAAGGAGCATTGGGAACAATCACACCTACATGTCAACATTATCATAACAATTCTTAAGAAAAGAACTAAACAGTTTGTAAACCACATGAGTAGAAAACCCTTTATTTCAGAAAAAATCATTTGAGATTTAATAACATCATATTTSATAAAGTGTACTCGATGATTGTCCGCACATTTTGCAAAGTCCACATTTCATTAAGCAAATCAATCAATTAATATGTACGTAAATACGCTATGTCGTCGCTACTGAATCAGTAAACTTATAAAAAAAGAACTATAGGTATGATCCTACCATGAATCTATTTCGATGTTTCCTTGAAAACGATTTCCCATAACTGTGTCCCGTTCATTTTGTTCGGATGCAACCTTCATGTATTGCTCTTGTTCTTGTATTGAGGCAACTGGTTGGGCGTAATTTTCGTATGAAAAGTTATTTTCATCCTCAGAATTAGATGGTTCATCGCTCCACGAAGAGTCTGATTCAGTTTCATTATCATTTCTAGTATTTTGACCATTTTCTACAAGTCCTTCCACATTAGACAGAACATTCCCCATGTTTTGTCGAGAATGTGTTGATTGTATGACGTAATAAAACTCATACCAAGCCCGCTCGGTCAAAGACGTTCAGTTCAATGCTGAGGCAACGATAACAATGGCGGATTTTTCAAAAAACCCTTATTTCACCGTTATTTTTGAGAGGACATGAATAAAATACCAAAAAGAATGTTTATCCACTGTATCTAAACATCTGGGGCTGCTTTTAAAGTTGTTTTTAGATTATTTTCAATTTTGACCATTTTTCGTAATAGTCCCCCTTTAAAACCCGGTGCAGTCCCAACAACAAAGTTCAAGAAAGAAAGCAAAGAGCGTTCCCTTTCGATCAAAAGAAGACGACAGCGAGAAAAAGAAGAAGTAAGTTTGACCACAAATTGGCATATCTATTAATAATTTATTAATTCTCTATATCGGCGTTCACTAAATATTTATATTTCTTCGGTAATAAAGCAGATGATAAACGTTAGTCCTGGTTCGGAAGATATACCATCTATGGATTTCTGTCAAGACATACATCATGTTTCTGATAATACAGATCAACCAGACATTATTTCAAAAAGTGATGCCAGCACTCAGTATTGTTCTAGCGATTTCTGTCAAAATGACAAAAGAAGCATCGGTACACAGACATTAAAAACAAGACCTGAAAGAAAACTAAATGAATCAGATAAACAAATAATTGAACATATACAGTCTAGAGCCTGTTACAGTGAAAATATTGACCCACTCTGTGACCATAACTATTGTATTCCTGCGCCTCCACCTCCACCTGTCTCATCCACATGAAAGAAACCAAAGCAAAGCACATGACATGGACGAGTTAAATAATGATGAATTTAAATCTGCGATTGACAAGGAACAAGACAATGATATGAGTAGCAGTGAAAATGATTATAATTCTAGTGATGATGAATATCAATACCACAGTTCTGATTGTGAGGGAAGTAGTGATGATTCTGAGACTGGAATGGAGAATATTGATCCTATTACAAATCACAAATTGAATCCCAATTAAATGAATGATTCAAGTTTTGTCAAGAATGTAGATCCCCAGTATGTGAAGTCACAAAAACTATTAATGGTAGTATGGTAACAATACATTCTTTGTGCATTCAAAATCATGAATATACATGGAAATCACAACCAACTAGTACAAGCAAGAATATACCTGCTGGGAATTTACTGATACCAGCTGCAATTGTGTGTACAGGAGGGACATTTCAAGAATTTTCAAACTTTGCCCAGTCTTTGCAACTTAATTTTATAGGCAGGTCATCTTTCTTTAAAATGCAAGACAGCATTATATTGCCTGTAATAAATACACGGTATAGAGAACAACAACACACTATCATAACATTAAAAATGGAAACCCTGTTGACTTATGTGGGGATGGTAGATCAGACAGTCCAGGGCATACAGCCAAATATGGAAGCTATAGTTTACTGGATGAAAAGTCTGGTAAGATTGTAGACTTTTCTCTTATTCATGTGTCTGAGGTATCTTCTTCTAATGCCATGGAGTATGAAGGTCGCAAGAGATTCATTTTTTTTTTTTTTGCAAAATAAAGCAAAAATTATTTTAATAGTCATCTCATACTAATGCTGGGATAACATTATACATGGCATATGCTTCAGATGTTTCTCAATTTTTGTGTCGGTGATAGATTTTTTCTGTGTCGGTGATAGATTGTCTGTGTAGGTGATAATTTGTCTGTGCAAGTGAGTGGAAGAAAAGGGAAAGAAGGTCAATGAAAGAGGGAAGATGAAGTGACTTTTTAATGAATGTGTGAATAGATAATGGAGAAAAGGGCTTGTATGTGCATGGAGAAAACATGGAAATTGAAGCTGATGAAGACATTAGGATGAGTAGAGGATATAATTACAGGGAAAGGATACTGAAGTGGGAGATAAGAATAATGACATGGGTGAATAAATGGATGGTGAGATAACCGTTAAGTGAAAGTAAGAGAGGAAGGAGTAAGGAAAACTATATAGGGGAGGGTAGAGGAGAAGGATGAACAAAAGATGAGTGGGGTAGACGGTATGTGGATAAGTGGTAAGAGTAAAGAGAAAAAGGAGGTAAAAAAAAACCCGATAAATTTGTAGTAGCATCGCTTCGCTGGAGTGCAGAATAAAATACGCTGGTCTTGTTTGCTATTTTCTTGAAATATGGCATAATTACATCGAACGTCATGATAACCTCACAATCAAAGAGAACTTTATCATAAGGGAGACCTACAAAGATGCTTTGATATCGT